GGTGTCTGCCCAGTGAAGGGCAGTCACACGGCATGGCAGTTCCACAGTTGTCACCAGGGCTCTGCACAGGATCTTCCACCCGCCTCGTGAGCAAATCACCAGCAAGTGTCTCTCCTGGGACAGAGGCTGCGCCACCAGCTCACCTGTGAGCAGCATGGCGGGAGGGTTTGAATCTCAGGTCGGTTTGATTGGCTGCATATCTCACTCCAGATCCCAGCGAGGGAGCCGGCCCGTGGTCAGCAAATCACCCAGGCTCTCGGCGATCTTACAACACTGCTCCCCCATTTCACAGCTGAGGTGCTGAGGCCCAGAGGTCACATGGGGAGTCCATAGCACAGTGGGGGTTTGAATCCTGGTCGCACAAGGCCAGTGCCCTCAACCACACCACAGTCGGGGTCCATCTCCGTTCTCCCATTGGCTCTTATTCAGGCCAGTTTCCCTGCGGATGATTGTGATTACAGACAGCATTCCCGACGGGCTGCGGAAGGAATTTCTGATAGGATGGAGGAATGGAGTCTGTGACTTGGGAGAGGCGCATAAGGGATAGGAATGAGTGAGCACTGGGGGAAGGGGAACGTGGGGTTGGTGTGCGAAACGTGGAGGATGGTTTGGGAGCTGACACATGTTCATTGGGGAAACTTCTGAAGGAGCTGTGTGCACTGGGCGCTTCAGGGTACGGGTGGTTCCGTGCATTGCAGCATGGTCCTGAAGGAGCTGTGTGTGCATTGGGGCTGGGGGTGCGGATGGTGCATTGGGGCTGGAGGTGCGGATGGTGCATTGGGGCTGGAGGTGCATTGCAGGATGGTTCTGAGGGAGCTGTGTGTGCATTGGGGCTGGAGGTGTGGATGGTGCATTGGGGCTGGAGGTGCATTGCAGGATGGTTCTGAGGGAGCTGTGTGTGCATTGGGGCTGGAGGTGTGGATGGTGCATTGGGGCTGGAGGTGCATTGCAGGATGGTTCTGAGGGAGCTGTGTGTGCATTGGGGCTGGGGGTGCGGGTGTTTCCATGTATTGCAGCATGGCTCTGAAGGAGCTGTGTGTGCACTGGAGGCTACAGGTGTGGATGGTTCCATGCACTGCAGCATGGCTCTGAGGGAGCTGTGTGCGCTGGGGGTGCGGGTGGTACTGTGCATAGCAGCATGGTTCTGAGGGAACTGTATGTGCATTGGGAGCTGGGGGTGCGGGTGTTTCCGTGTGTTGCAGCATGGCTCTGAGGGAGCTGTGTGTGCATTGGGGGCTGGGGGTGCAGGTGGTACCAGGCATTGCAGCAAGGTCTGGGGATGAGTGCATTGGGGGATGGGCAGGGCGCTTCTACATGGGGTGGGGGTGGGGTGCTACACTTGCATTGAGGCCTGAGGTGGGAAGGATCTGAGACAGCTGTGAGCATTAGTGAGAGGGCTCCATAAGGCGGCCAGGGACACGTGAAAGTTGTAACTTCCTTCGCTCTGTGATGAGCTGGGGTAACAGCCCTCTGGCTGTGTGCGACCCCTCTCCATGTCTCCCCTCGCCCCAGGGACCAACCACCCGTGCGAGTTGCACTTGGGGCAGAAAGGTGAAAACAGGGCAAGGTGACATTTCAGCCACCCAGGGAGTGACCCTGCTCCTCCTGAGTAGCACCTGAGGCGGGAATTGCTGATACTCTTGTGCTTTTGGGGGTGGGGGTGGGGCTCACCTACACCAGGGCCAACCACATTTTGTGGGCAGGGATGGGAATGAACTAGCCTGTTCCCACCACCCTAGAGGTCAGTTCTATCCCTGTGACAACAGCAAGTTTTCCCTCCCCATAGACCCGGGAAGAGCTCTCCCTCCCATGCAATGGGACCAGAACTCAGGCCCTAGGGATCAGGCATTTTACCCGACGAGCCCACAGAAAAGGCAGCGTTCAAACCAACCACGCCTGACTCCAAGCCGTGAGCCAGCCTGGCCACGCGTCCCAAGAGTGGGGCAAGCCAGGCTTGTGGCCTTGTGCCCACCAAGGAGCAGGCAGGTGGGGGGCACGCCTTCCCCCAGGGCTGTGCTCGGGCCCTGAGTCAGTGAACTTCCCTCAGGCAAACCTCCGGGCTGCTAAAAAGGCCAAAGCAAAGTGTTTCTCTTTCTCCCCAGCAGCCCCGTCCGCCTTTCTTCTCCTCACTCTGTTTCTAATTCTTTTCCTCTTCGGTAATGAGGGGATTACAAGGAAAACTCCAGCAGGACGCCTTTGTATGGGAGACAGCCTGAGTGGGGAAGGCAGCTCCCCTCTTTGTCCATCATTAGAGTTGTCCCCCTCCCTCAGCTGGAGGGACATTTAGAGCAATTACTTGTCCAGAAAGTAACTGTCAATCATTCTTAAAGGGGAAGGCCTCCAATTAATGACCTCGCCTTAATCCCTTGGACTCATTTCCAATCTGCAGGGCCTGGTGACATCTGCAAGACTAAATAAAGATTCTCTCGAGCCTTAGCGAGATGGTTCTGTGACAAATAAGGAGACTAGAGGGAACTTTGGCTGCCAAGCTGCAAGATTGGTGAGGCTGAGCCGCTTGTTTGCTTTCCAGGAGGGACCTTCCAAGTTAAATACTCCTGGAAAATCCAAGTGGAGCCCAGCAGGTAATTTTTCTTTCTTCTAATTCAGCGGGGAAAGGTGGGGGAGAGATGCCTGAAGAAGTGAGGTCTCTGGAAAGAGGCACAGGTGCCATGTGGTCACTGGGGGAACAGAAACGCAGCGGGGACTGGGGCGGAGAGCGCTGGGCGTAAGACAGGCCCTGGAAATCAGCAGAAAAACAGCTCAGAAAAGCCCTTCTGTCCCTCTCACGCACGAATACCATCCCTGTCTCCCACTGGCTCGCTCCTGCTACACGTAGGGCAGAATCCGGCCCACTCTCTCCCCCACTTCGTTCACCTGTCCTTCCAGGTCAGAAGCCAGACCCCTGGATACTTTGGCTGCCTTAACTCTCTTTCCTTCTTAAATAATGGACATGAAAAGCAAACGGGTGCAAACCAGCATTCTGAGTTTATCAACCACGCTGGAACCCGCCGGCCTATTGTCCGTCTTTGCTTTTGTTACGTTTTTCTACTTTTGCATTTCCTCTTCTCTTCTGTCCTTTTGCTTTTCTTTCTTTGCATTCCTGTTAAACTGCAGAAATGTCGGGGGAAGTCCCCAGAAATCCCAATCATTTGACTAATAAGCTTCAAGGAGACAGTTCAACAGTTTTAGTCATCGGTGATCTTTGACCTTTATCTCAGCTTGGAAAAAAATGCTCTTAACTGTTTCTCGCTTTATTTACTTTTTTGAAGAAACGATGGGTTGTGGGTAACCCCATTCCCATGCAGTATTCTAGAGGAATAAAAGTGTATTCAAGAATAAATCAAAACAGAGAGAAATCCCTAAGAGATTGTGTCTTTGCAGTTTCCTTCATTACAGTTTTAAAGCTTAAGTACTTAAAACTAAAAATTGCTGCTGCGATCATGGAGTCCATAATGAAATACCAGGATCCACTGAAGACCAAGACGGGAAATCGAAATCAGCTCTTTTAGTTGAATGAATCTAATTAAGGTTCCTTAAAAATTCTAGAAGAGATTCTTGAAATACACACCCTGAATTTATTCGGAACGTTCCTTTTCTTTTTGAGTGCTTTTGCTAACAGGAATGGGACCAATTGCTGGAATGTTTAGAAGGGGAGCTGGTCTGATTATGCATTGTAGGGCCCGATCCTGTCCACTGACTCCAATGGATTCTGCATGAGCAAAGGCCATAGACGTTGGTTGATTTTTATATTTGTGGGGAGCAGCTCCAGTCAGGTCAGTGGATCTGTGCGTGGAGGGAGGCAAATTCTGCACCTGCCTGAGACTTACAGTTTGGGGGCGGGTGTAACAAAGAGTGCAGAATCTGTGCCTTCAGTCATCTCTGCTCATTACATAACCATTTGAGTTCATGAGGTTTTATTTCTGCTGGGTAGAATGAGCTTTCCAACAAGGATGACCCAGGTGAAAATGAAAAGGTGACAATGTGAGACAGAGTCTCAGGAGGGCTGGGGAGACAGTGGGGGGGCCCTACAGGAACTGCACATGTCAAAACTAAAGCAGAGGGGGAAATAAAATCATTGGCAGAAATGTAACAGAACCAAGAGGAAGAGCCAGCTCTGAGATTTAACACAGAAAGGGTTTATGGCAAACAGAGTGTCAGATCCGGGTGGCTCCACAGACAGAAAGCCAGGGATGTAGAGGGATAGCTGGGATAGAGGCTATGTCTACACTACATAGTTTTTCCGGGATACTCTGCCGTGTCCAGGGAACACGTCTGCTTTTTCAGATCAGTTTCTGATAAAGTGGGCATGCTCTTTCGGAAGCCCTGTATTCTTCATTTTCTGAAAGAGGAGGTTTTTCCCACATTTGGACCCGCGTAGAATCGGGAAAAGGTACGCAAATTGCGGTTTGCAGTTTGTTTACCTTATTCTGAAAATAACCTGAAGTGTAGACGTAGCCCTAGAAACTGATCCGGAAGTTGGAGTTTTGTTCTTCCTTTTTAGTAGGTGTAGCTTATGTGTTTGTTGTTTTCTGATTTACTCTCCCTTATGCATCGTTCTCTGCTCTTATTTTGCTTGTTTCTATGAATCTGCGATTCATTTAATTCCTTGCTTATTTTATTCCTGGGCCCACTCGGTGGATTATTTACTCTCATTCTTTCCATTGCGTCGGTCTTACTCTTTGCTTGTTGTGTGTGCAGCTAACGCAGAGAGCTAGGACTGCAGAGGCTATGCACTCCCAGCCCCTACCCTGGCCCAACTCTACTGTGGGACCCCTCTCATGAGATTTGTCCCAGTTACCTGCCTGTGGCCCCAGCTCGTATTGCTGTGGGCGCCTGCACCACCAGCACTTTTGCTCTTTATTATCTGGCAGTTTTTAAAACGGGTGTTTGTGCTTGTGCCGAAGGCCAGGCCGGTGCTAACCCCAGTGCGGGGGGACTAGAACGATGGTATTGGGGGGTGAGAGCCAATGGGCCAAAAAATATGATGGAAACTATTTCAGGCCAGGGAGTGCTGCAGCCCCCAGCATGCCTAGTTCCAGCACCTCTGGCCGGGGTCGCGTATCCAGACCTCAGGGAGGGGGGCAAAGTGTCTCCGGGCTGCTCAGGGAAAGCCCAGGCCCAGAGCTGGAAGTAGCCCCTCTCTGAAGCAGAGGTGTGGGCAGGGGGATGTGCAGAGACATGGGATGGTGGCAGGGCTGGCTTCTCCAGCTCGTGTAGCTGCCCAGAGCCCTGGAGCTCAGCCCCAGCCCGGGATGGACCCTGGTCGCCTGCTGGGGAAGAGTCGTGCATCCTGGGGGCCAGGAGGGGCGGGCGATGGCGGTGGACTGTGGTTCGGATGCAGCTCCCCGGAGGCCAGCAAGTTCCTCACCCTCCTCCTCTCCTCTCTCTTCTTTCCTTGCAGATGAAGAGCTGCGCAAGTGAGAAGAGAGTGAGAGAGAGACAGAGGGAGCAGGACGGTGCCAGGAGGCAGCTGGCTGCCTGCACCTGGGTCGCTCACCCCACACATCAGCTGCCCCCCTGCACCCATCCGCCCACTCCCCTGTCCCCATCCCCTCTGCAACCTGCCCCCCCATCTGAATGCCCCTGGCCTTGCAGGAGGGCCCTATGAACGTGCTGGAGCCAGGAGCCCTGCAGCCGCCCGCAGCCCCCCTGGCCCTGCAGCAGCAGCAGGTGTTGCTGAAAGGCTGCGGGAGTGGCTTGGGGGGTGCAGGGCATGTGCACAGCATCGACGTGATCCTGGGATTTAGCAGGGATCAGGACTCGCTCTTGGGCCCCCTGCAGGTGCCCTGCCCCATGGCAAGCAAAAGCGGCACGGGCAGCCTGGGGGAGACTAGCAGAGTGGAGCAGCCGCCAGCACCCTACAGCGCCCAACCCCTGGGCTCGCATCCGGAGGAGGCAGCGCTCTACGGTAAATCAAATCCAGCCGTGACCGTCCTTTCCCGGGGGCAGGGCAGGGGCACAGCCGGCTCCAGGAGCCCCGGCCAGAGTCCCCGGAGCAGAGGGGGTCCCAGGCTCCTGCTCCAGAGGCTGCTGCCTCCACACCTGGGGCTCGAGGGGCCCGAGCATCTCACAGCCCCTTCTTGGCTCCTGTCCAGGCAGCAGCCCCTGCCGCCTCTGCCTCCCGCGCCCCTGCAGTGTGGCAGGCGAGGGCAGGACACGTTTCCCCACATCCCAGCAGCAGCTCTGGGTCTTCTGCTGTGGGGCTGGGTGAGGTGGAGCGATGCCTGCGGCAGCATCGAGCCCTGGGAAAGGGCTGTGGGGGTTTGGCTGGGGGGCTTGGAGGGGGCCCCATGCCCCAACCCAGTGCTCCTGGAGAGACTTTGTATCTGTCCCAAAGCAGCAGGTCTGGCCCAGGGCTGGTTACTGAAACGGCCACTTTCCGGCAGTGCCACCGCTGCCCTGCGCCCCTGGTCCTGTCCACCAGCAGGGCTGGGCTCAGCGGGCTCAGCAGGTCACTTGGAGAGCGGGGCCCAACTCCAAGTTCTTAGGGAACAGACCTTATACCTGCAGTGCTGGGGGGGGATGATCCACTGGGCCTGGGAACCAGGACGCTGCAGGGCACGACCAACCCACCCAGATCAGAGCGGAGTCCAGGGCTAGGGTACAGTGAGGAGGGAGTGCGGCACCGGGCTCTGCTGCCTTCTTATCTCAGGCTGGGGCTGGCCCCTGGAGGGACCTTCCCTCCCCTGGGCAGAGCAGGGTACCAGGCTTGGCTCGGTGGGAGAACCTGGGGGCCCCCTTAGCCAGTGTGGAGAACTGGAGGAGGTCTGGGCTGAGCCCAGGTAGGGTCCTGTGCAGACTCAACCAGGCATGGGGAGCTTGGCAAGTTCTCTCCCTGCCCCTGTACCAGTAAGTCCCTTCCAAGGTTTGGGCTTTGGACAGGCTGGCTCCAGGCAACTTCCCAACCCACTGGCCATCCGAGCAGCCCCACTGGTGAGTAGCAAAGAGTCAAGTTTCTCCTCCCCCAAAGCCAGGGACCAGCTCTGTTCTCTGGGGCAGCGCCACCAAGAGAGATTGGCAAAATGTGTGAACTCTCTGGGCTCGGGACCATCAAAATTGGATCCCAGCAAGGAACAGACCCGACACCGGCAAGGGGCCTTCAAAACCCGATGTCCGTTTTATCAGAAAGAAATTAATAACATTTAATTACTAAAAGCTCCCCGATGTATACATGTTAATGTGAATATTTGTACACACTGTACATGTCTAAATACATATATGTAGGCACGTATGTATCTGTAACTGTGTCTACTCGTGAAATCTCTCTATCCTTTGTCTATCTATCTATCTGCACACAAACATATGAAGAGAGATCGTTTATTTATTTAATCTTTAGTTGCTGAATTTAGTTTCCTTTTTAATTTCTTCCACAATCATATATACAGAGAGATCTTTTATTTAGTTTTAGTTACTTAATGTAATTTCCTTTTTCATTTCTTTAGACACACGCATCTGTGTATTTGTGTGTGCAAGGCACACCACGCATCTCAATGCATCATTATCCCAGCGAGGGATCTGATCACATTTCTCTCTGAAGGAATATCCTGGGATTATGTTTTTTTATTTTATTTAAATGTTTGTATTAGATCCCTACAGATAGAAAGGGGCCAGTAATCCTCATCAAATGCCACAGAAAGATTTCAGATATGCTGGATAAAAAGCTTAAAGATGCAATGTTCTGAGGTTTGAAAACGCTTATAAACACTAAGTTAGGGAAAAAAGGTCATTAGCCAGAAACAACGGGTGGGGGCAGAGGCGTAATGAAACCATGTATTTTGGGGAGGAAGCTTTTTTTACAGCCATGTCGATGGGCCTGCTATTTCTTCTGATGTTTGTCTTTAATTGTTTTGCAGTCAAAGGCAATACTCTTCAGACTTGCCAAATCATAGAGCAGCTGTGTGCGGAGCTAAGAGTCTCTAGTTTTTCTACCACTGGTTTCCTTAGCTATTTCCACTTTTCAAGTGCCATATTATCTCAAGAAAGCAGAGATTGTCCAGTTCTAAATAATATTATTAAAGAGAAACACCACAAAGATGGTGATTTTTAAAAAATACTTGAGCAGGTTAAATCTCAGTTTATATTTGGATTTTTTGTGTGTCACTGTACAGCTGATTTTTCTTTTAAAAAATGTTATGTTAGCCTATTTCTATGGCATCTCTGAAATTTGGATTTTACCCATGAGAGTTCTCACTATTATCATACTTTTTATAAGACAACTTCAGAGACTAGCTATGGGAATTTTGTTACTTCCTTGAGTGATCTGTATTGAAAGGACAAATATATTATCACAAATATTACAAGAGAATTTTTACTTTACTCTGATAAGTCAGGTAGAGAAAGTTGTAGTAAAAGAAAGAAAAAAACCCACTATTTAAACTGAAAGAATTAAAAATCTCATGCCATGTTAAGTTAAGATTTGAATGAATTTACATGGCAGGTGGTTTATTCATTTGAGCTTTCATATTTTAATTTGTTTTTTATATAATTTTTTCTCAGTTCTTGATGGGACACTAAATTGTGGAAGCTTATTTTAATAAACATATATTCAATAGCTTTTCAGGACAAATTTAATAAGCAACCAAGCAAAATTAGATAGATAAAATATAATGTATTTAAATGTATTATATATATAATCTTAAGAACCTCGTGTAGTGAAGAACCAGTGTAGTCCCGCTGAAGTCTGTCTGATTTACCCCAGTGAAGCTCTGGCCCATTTACTGTACTCATTAATGGACAGTGAATTCCCAAACCCTGCCTGTGTTCTGAAAATTTGCACTCTATTGATGTCAAGTATCAGAGGGGCAGCCGTGTTAGTCTGAATCTGCAAAAGCAGCGAGGAGTCCTGTGGCACCTTATAGACTCACAGGTTTATGGGAGCATAAGCTTTCGTGGGTAAAAAAAAGCTTTCGTGGGCATCTGACGAAGTGGGTCTTTGCCACGAAAGCTCATGCTCCAGTAAATCTGTGAGTCTCTAAGGTGCCACAGGACTCCTCGTTGCTTTTGCACTCCGTTGATGTAATTCCATTGCTGTAATTGCAAGGGAATTGCACCCCCTTCGTTTATTCTGATAATGCCAAAATACTGGCAGCGTCATGCACAGTGAAGCAAAAAATCCTTTGGTATTGGTGAATTGGTCACAGACCCACACTGCAGCTCCCTTACTCCGTACGAGGCTGTGCTAGAGCCGGCAGACTCTCCCGGCCAAAGCTCGGACTGCAGTCAGGCAGGGGTCAGATCTATCAATCAGCCTTGCTTTTTGTCCCACTGATGATTAAACAAAGCATGCGAATAGACCCACGGGGTCACTGCGCTGTGTGCGTTCGGTTCTGACTCTGCAGGGTGCAGAGGCCCCTGGCAGACCCTCAGCTGATGCAGATCAGCTCCCTTCCTGTC